TGAGCTGGTGTGGTGTCACAGTAGACTTTGATGACAAACTGTGGGTTGCTCTGCAGCAGCCCCTCCTAATCCCATTTGCCCATGACTCATCCATTCCAGTCTTCAGGTCTATAAATCAACAGGGAGAGCCATGCTCCGCATCTTTCATTCTGCATTGGTCTCTGCTGTTGGAATCATCTTAGCCCAGGACAGGAAAAGAATTTTGCTTCGACATTTTCCAAATTTCAAACAAAGTGTCTCCTGGATTTTGTACCAAACTGAAGTTACCAAACAGAAACTCCCAGTTCTGAAGCTGGGTGTGAGAAATAGGAGTGTCCAAGGGGTTTGGGGGGGGGGCACGGGACCCAGATGGGGAGAGTCTCCAGTAAATCGGCTTGTTTTGATGGGTATTTTTTCATTTGTTTTGTTTTGTTGCCACAACTCATTACTGTAGTTTTAGTCACACTTTCTTGTTAACAATAGAATTAAAAACACTCAGGAGAATAAGAACAAACAAAGTTATATAAATGAGCAGTCACCTGCTAATTTGGGATGTAATTACTGCAAGGAAAAGGAACCCACTCTAATTAGCTCAGGGCCAGAAGAGAACTCACTGGAAGCATAAAAGATCAGAGCTGCAGCGGTTTCATACATGCAGTCTTTCCCCATCCTCGTTTGTATGGAAGATTTGTTAGCGCTTTAATGGGTGTGGTCTGTGTTTGCTGCTTAGTGAGCCTGTATAGTACTGACCATTGTAGCTGATGAAGCTGTGGTCCACAGTAGCCTCCTCTACTGGTGCTGGCCTAAGATGCTCACACACCCTACATCCACATGAATACAGGAATACAGGCCACAATAGCTATCTAACCACAGTTTGGGTAATTTCCACTCCAAATTTACAAGAGCCATCAATGTATTCACCTTGGTCAGGTGTCTGTACAGTATCCAATCACATACCAAGTGGAGGGATGAGCTCTCTTGGCATGCAGTCTCTTTGGGAAAGGTATTATGGGTGGAGAACAGTATTTCAGGAGATTAGGTATGAAAGAAATGGTTAGCACTTAAAGTACAAATATACTCCCATCCAAAACCATCGTGCTAACATTTCTGTGTGTTCTTTAGCTAATATGTTGCAAAGTAAGGACAGAAGGAGGTATACAAAGCGTATTCATCTATCTTACAAGTAACTCTGTATCTTAGGTTTTTCTTTTATGTGTGTGCATATGTTATGTGTGTGTGTGCACAGTTGCACATGTGTGCACATACCCATGAAGGCTAGGAAACAACTTTCCCATGTTGTTTCTCAGTTGCCATCCAGCTTTCTCTGAGGTCTCTCAATGGCCTGGAACTTGCCAAGCAAACCAGATAGGCAGGTGATGAGCCCTGTGAGTCCACCAGTTCCTGACTCCACAACACTGGGGTTACGATCACACATCACCACACCTGTCCTTTGCTTTTAAGACTTATTTGAATTTTTAATTCTGTCTATGTATGGTAGGGGTGAATTGTCCACATGCCTGAAGTGCCCAAGGAGACCACAAGAGGTCAGATCCCTGAGAGTTGAGGTTACAGGTCAGTGTGAGCCACTGCATGTCTGTGTCTGTACTGGAAAACAAACTCAGTGCCTGGGAGAGCAATAGGAGCCTTTAACCACAGACCCATCTCTCCAGCCCCACACCTGGCTTTTTCTTATAGGTTCTGGGGATTGACCTCAAATCCTCCTGTTTGAAAGGCAAGTGCTTTATTGGCTAAGCTATCACCCCAGCCTTTCCTGGGCTCCACTGAGTAAAATACCACCAGCTTTTTATCTTGTCATTAAAATCTTTCCTCAAGTACTTTGATTGTAGGGGGCCGTTTCCTGCATCCTCCATTACAATAATGGTGCCTAAAGACACCAAGATGTAAATTACTTCAACAGGTGCTGGGTAATCTCCATTCCTTTGATCTCTGCCTATCCCGTGGCTCATTTGGCCTGAGGAGCTGAAGCCATTCATAGGGTAACACGTCCCAGGCGGCTGCTTGTCAGCCTTTTTAAGGGATGGGTTTCTTAGTTCAGTGTCTCCGCTCTGGTAAGCTTATGCTCTCTCCAACTCTCAAGATGCATTAAAGCTTGTCTGCAGAAGGATCCGAGTGTCCTGCGTGTATTTCTTGGCGGCCGAGAAAATACAGCGTGCGCAGGACATATGGTGCCGAAACCCGGGAACATGTGAACATCTCTGGCACCGAGGAGACCCCTCTAACGGGGCGGATTCAGAACTGCAGGGTGGTAAATTCGGAGAGGTATGTTTTTTCTGGACTTTGGCTTGGGAATGTTGCTATTTTGGGAGGTTAATATAGAGGCTTCTATGCTTTTACTAGGAGCTATTTTGACTTTTCTCACTGTTGTAGCAATCTTAAAGAAGTCCAGAATTACATATCAGAAACCGAATGTGGTGAGAGATGGGGCGCGCCTAACAATAAAATATAAGAAAAAAGGACC